AGCACCCTCCCTCGACCGTAGAGACAAAGTGGGGAGCAAGCAAGCTGCAGAACAGGTTGTGATGCTAGGAGGGCGTCCCAGCAGGCCGGGCCTTGCAGGCGGTTCCCTGGAGTTCTGTGAGCCGTCCTGCCCCCTACAGGACCCTTTGTTGCAGACATCCCTGGTGAGCTCGCCACTGCCCTCTATTGGGCACCCAAGGGTCCCGTTTCCTGCTTGGACCCCAGGCAATGACTTCTACAAGGTGGGTCAGTGGAGTAGTTTCTCTGCATTTCTGAGTCCAGCAGTCTCAAGTCTGTGGGCCATGCTACAATCCCTGCAGGAGGTCGGGGGAAAAAGGTTGAGATATCAAGGCCTGCCTGGGCAGCCTTGTGACTTTGTGAGACTGTCTCAAATAAAAATAAAAGGGCTGGGGATGTAACTCCATGTGAAGGTTCAGGGCTCAATCCTCTGTGCTGAAAAATAGTTTTGTTCATTGCCACGCATGAACAGCGAACAGCGCCTGGCCAGCTGCACGCTGCACGCTGCCTACGGTAAGCTCTGCTGCTCTGCTGAGGTAAGGGAGAGTTCTGAAACAGCACCCCCTGGCTTCAGGCCACCAGGGATGAGGCCACCAGGGAGGAGGAGCAGGCTGTGGGCCTCCCATAGGCACTGCTGGCTCCGAGTGGGACCCACACCTTCATCCAGCGTGAGGGAGATGGTGGCACCAAGGGGATATTTAGATGACAGTTCCAGGGCCTGGATGTATGCAGGGGGATAATCAACATCCTCAACAATCCTATTCCAGGGACTCAGGGTAGAATTAAAATCCCCATCCTGGAGTCACCTCAGCTTGGGGACATCCACGCAGTGAGGACCCTGTGGAGAGAATCATTGCCCAAACTTGACTGTGACATGCCATGCACAGCATCCCCACGGCCTCCTCATATCCCTCTGGCCAGTGCTCTCCAGCAAACACACATGTGGGGTGCTGTGTCAAGCCCTGTCCTGACACAAGCTGAGCTTAAATTTGCGAGTCTCCTACCTCAGCCTTCTGGGACCACCTCAGGCTCAGGACACCTGTTTTAGATATTTCTGTTGACGTGAGCAGTGCGTCCTAGCCACTGAGTTCAGCTATAGAGGTATACACCAGGAAAGGAAACTATTGCTATAATTAGCATATCTGAGGAAAACCCTGGAAATCGAATAGGAGTCATAGCAAATAAATAACAGGGTTCAGTAAATTGGTAATGGAAGGGAGGGAGCCAGACCCGCACTGTCCATAATACACAGCGATGTTCAAAGGCCTCAGTGCTGCAGTGTGAAAGGCAGGGCTTGAAGACGTGGGACGTGGTTGTGCTTGTGGCCTTGCTTGGGACCAACAGCATGGGCAGAGTCCCTCAGGAGCCCTGCCACTCTGGATGGGTCACTTCCACCTCCTCTAAGCAGCCATCCTTGGCTGCTGTACCCTCACTATTCACGGAGGTTTTCTCACTGCTGTGAGCACTTTCCCAATTCCATGAAGGCCAGTAAGCAATTACACCATCTGCCTTTTTAGAGTACGTATCACGGCAGGACTCAGCTGCATCCTCATTGCTGAGCTTCCGGCCTGTGCAGAGCTGGGAAGCGGCACCATTGCTGGTGACTGGCTTCTTTCTGTGCACCTTTGCAAGCTGAAATGTATCATACATTAAAAACCAGGAAATAACATAATGGGAAATGTGTCTTATCAGCATATAAAAGGTTGCCACTCACTGTGTTACTTTTAGTAGCCAAAATATAAAAATAATCTAATATTTTAAAATACAAATTTGGGCTAAGCATGGTGCTGCACATCTGTAATTTCAGCTCTTTTGGAGCTAATACAAGAGGACCACACATTTGAGGCCAGCCTAGGCAAGGGTGTTCCTCAGGCTTTCATCAATGACAGAATACCTGAGAAGACCATTTGGGGGAAAAACTGGTTTTTCACTCACAACTGCAGAGGGCTCAGCCCATAGCCAGCTGGTTCCAAGGCAGAGCCATCATGGCAAATGACATAGAGGTCAGCTGCTCCCAAGATTGACTAGGAAATGGAGAAGAGGGGAAGAAGAAAAGAGGTGGCCAGGACCAAGCATGGTGCCCATCCCTGCCCCAGAACCCCTGTGCTCAGATAGGCCCCACCTTCTACACTCTCATAAGCCCTGGACAGTGGTGCAGAACCATGCAATCCTTGCCTCTGAACACAGAAGACACTACAGGGACATTTTAGATCTAAACTGTAGCAGCAATTTAGCCAGACTCTGTTTCAGAAACAAAACTACAGACTACATGCTCCCTGAATTCAATCCCCATTAACCCCACCCCCTCCAAAAAAAGAAAAGAAAAGAAAAAGAAAGAATTGCTTCAACTATCACCATATCATTGATAAACAGGTTGTGGGAAAACAACAACGCAGCTGAGTCTCCAACGCATTGCCCTGAGTGGAGGGGCTGCACCGGATAGGCTTTCATTTCTGTGGCTCCTGGGTGGGGAGTGGCCAGGGGCGGGGCTGACGGAAGAGCCCAGCATCTTGCTGTGGGGAGTGATCTGCTAGCACAGTTGCCAGCCTGTCTACCTGAACGATGGGTGCCCGGGGGTGGCAGGGAGGGTGACGTCATGTCAGCATCCACTTGGCGCAGAGGCTTAGATGTACAAGGTGAGAAGTCCACAGGTGGAGGTGAGGGCTCCTCCAAACCTCACCACAGGACTGCCACTTAGGAGTGAGGAAGTGTTCAGGGGTTTGATTCTGACCACAACAAAACTCAGGGCTGGCTAAAGTTTGGAGTAGAGAGCCTGCCCAGCCTGCACAGGGTCCCAGGTCCCCTTCCAGTAGAATGATAGTAAAGCAAGACAAGCAACTTTAAACACAGAAGCAAAGGGAAGCCGTCCGAACCTGAAGTGAGCATTTGGCCAGCTCTTGATGCAACCGAATAGGGCTACCTCGCACCTCCCTGCAGCAACGTGCCATCAACAAGAAGAGCCCTCACAACCTCCCGCAGCGGCAGCCTGCAGACACTAGAGGGTGCGCGCGTGCCGACCCTGCCCGGCGCGCGGCCACCGCCTGGACAGCGGCCTTGCGCGCTCGGCCGCTGCACTGGATGCTCGCACCTGCGCAGGGAGGGGACCGGGCCATGCCGGCCCACTGGACCCTGAAAGGCTGGTCTCTGCTGGGTGCTAGGTGGAGGTAGCCACGGCCGCCCAGGGATCCAGGGCTGCCCTCCTCCAGCTGGTGCAGAGCCGAAGGAAAAGCAGGAGAAATGAACGCACCCAGGGACTCCGGGCCGGCAAGGGGAGGACCTAGGAAGCTCCCACCGCAGGGGAGGCCCCGCACCCCTAGCCCGCAGGGCCTCTTGGCTCCGGCAGTCTCAGCCTCGCCTGCTGTCTTGGCACACCCAGTGCCCACGCTGACCTGACTAGTCCTGGGGCAGGGACCGAGGGGAAATCTGACCCCAGAGCCAGCGACAAGAGGTCCAGTGGTCCAAGCCTCCTTCCAGCCTGCTCCCACCCAACCCGGCTGTGACAGCTCTGAGCCAGGAACACACTGCCCTCTGCCCATTGGCACAGGATACAGAGCCCCTCCTGAAAGCTCTGAAACCTGAGGCCGCGGCCACCCCTCTCATTCACTGGGGACACTGTGCCCTCTGCCCTTCAGGGGCAACACCGCTGCCTACGCAACTGCCTACCAAGGGCACCTATCAAAGACTGAGGAGCGGAGGTCTTGTCTTTGGCTGGGCTGTGTGTTCCCAGTGGGAGCTGGGTGAATGTTCGAAGGGCACCAGATAAAGGGCACCGCTGCCCTGTACTGCTCCTTACCCAGTCTGCAGACACCTAAGGCCCCGCTCCCCACCGGCGCTCTCTCCAGCCATCCGCCTGTACAGTCCAGGCCTACAGGTCCTTCCTACTCACTCCTGTGCACCAGGCTGTGCCCCCCGGGGTGGGGTGGGATGACTGCTACACTCCACACCCCGCGTGAGGGAGGTCAGGGTGGGCGTGGAGGGCCAGGCAGGGCAGCTTTGCAATTCGGGCCTCGAGGGTGGGATGCCTCGGCAAGAAAGGACGTGCAGGGTAGGAAGGGATGCCTTGGGTGGCTGGGAGGCCCCCTCCGGAGGCCAGTGATGCTGGAGGCCTCCTGCTAAAGGTCACTGAGAGTGTTAACAGGGCCACCTTGTAACCTGGGGCGCATCTCCTTCACCTCGCAGTGACGCTCGGGCTCCCCCTGCAGGTTCGGGAGGAGGTGGCTGCGCCCTGTCCTCTTGGGGAACCCGGGTAGTCTCATCCCAACGGCAAGATCCCCTCCACCCAGGACACTCAGTTCTGGGGCGGGGGCGGCTGCATAGACAAAGGCGGGCAGGGGACACTAGCACCAGTTCGACCTACGGGCGAAGACGGCACCGTGGGACATCCAGGACCTCAGGACTCGCCCGCAGGTCTACACCCGCCTAGCGGCGGTGGTCCCAAGCCACACCAAGCCTTGAGCTGTTAAGTCCTCCCAGGTGGATCCAGTAGGGGCCCGATGCCGCGCGGCCCCTTTAAGCGATCTTGTTGGCCCGCCCGGCCCCGCCCCCCAGCCTCCGCTTCTCTGAGGCACCCACTGACGTCACCTGCCCCGGGCCGCGGACTCTGATTGGCTGCGGGTGACGTCAGGGGCTTTTTCGCCCGGGTGACCTCACCCCCTGCGCCCCGCCCTCCGCCCCGGGCTGTCACTCGCGGTCCCGCGGAGGCCCGGTTCCGTGACCCCGCCCGCCGGACCCGACCCGCGCCCGCCGAGCCGA